TGCTTTTGGTGTCAAATCTAAAAACTCGTCACAAATACCAAGAAGCTTACTTTTTATATTTTCTCCTAGTTTTATGTTCAAGTCTTTAATCCATTTTGAGTTGGTTTTTGTTTATGGTGTAAGACAGTGGTTCAGTTTCATTCCTTTGCATGTGGATGTCCAGTTTTCCCGTTTACTGAAGAGACTGTCTGTTCCCCATTTTATATTCTTGGCTCCTTTGTTGTAAATTAACTACATATCCAAGGGTTTATTTCTGGCACTCTGTTCTGTTCCATTGATGTATTTGTTTTTATGCCATACCATACTGTTTGATTACTATAGCTTTGTAATATAGTTTGTGGCATGTGATACCTCCAGCTTTGTTCTTTCTCAAGATTGCTTTAGCTATTCATGGTCTTTTGTGGTTCCATACAAATTTTAGAATTGCTTGTTCTATTTCTGTGAAAATGCTATTTTTATTTTGATAGGAATTGCACTAAACCTGTGGACTACTTTGGGTACAATGAACACTTTAACAATATTAATTCTTCCAATCCAGCCATGGCATATCTTTCCATCTACTTGTATCATCTTCAATTTCTTTCACCAATTTCTTACAGTTTTCAGAGTATAGGTCTTTAACCTCCTTGGTCAAATTTATTCCTAGCTATTCTTTTGGTGTAATTGCAAATGGGATTTTCTTTATTTCTCTGATAGTTCATTATTAGTGTGTGAAATGCAAGAGATTTCTGCATATTGACTTTGTATCTTGCAACTTGTTAATTAGTTGTAAGAGTTTTTTTTTAGTGAGTCTCTAGGGTTTTCTATATATAGCACATGTCATCTGCAAATAGTGACATTTTACTTCTTACCAGTTTGGATGTCTTTTATCTTTTTCCTGACTCATTGCTCTTGTTTGGTCTTCTAATACTATATTGAATGAAAGTGGTGAGAATGGATGTCCTTGTCTTGTTCCTCATCTTAGAGGAAAAGCTTTCAGGTTTTCACCATTGAGTAGGATGTTAGTTGTGGGTTTGTCATATATGGCCTTTATTATGTTGACGTTTCCTCTATACCCACTTTGCTGAGTTTTTATCATAAGTGAATGTTGACTTTTATCAAATGCTTTTTCAGCATTGATAATCATAATTTATTTTCCCTTCATTTAAAAAATATGTTGTATCACAGTGACCAATTTGCCAGTTAGACCATCGTGGCATTCCTGTGGGTAACTCCCACTTGTTCATGAAGGATAATCCTTTGAGTGCACTGTCAACTTCAGTTGGTTATTCTGTTGAAGATTTTTGCATATTTCATCAGGTGTATTGGTAATTTTGGTGTGGTTTTGGTATCAGGGAATGGTGGCCTCGTAAAATGAGTTTGGAAGTGTTTACTTCTATTTTTTTGAAGAGTTGGAGAAAGACTGGTATTTCTTGAATTCTTAAAATTTCTGTAATTCTTGAAATGTTTGGTAGAACTCACCATTAATGCCATCTGGCTCTGGACTTCGTTTTTTGGAGAACTTTTGATTGTTGATTCAATGTCTTTACTAGTAACCAGCCTGTTCAGATTTTCTATTTTGTCATGAAATATCAATATTTGCACATTCCTAGGAATTTATCCATTCCTAGGATAGGTTGCATGTTCCTAGGAATTTATCCATTTCTTCTAGATTGTCCAAATTGTGGGGATATAATAGTTCACGTAGTCTTAGGATCCTTTATATTTCTGTGGTATCAGCTGTTATGTCTTCTTTCTGATTTTGAGTTCTTTTTTCACAGTGAGTCTAGCTAGGGTTTAATTTTATCTTGAAAGAAAAAAAACAGCTCTTAATTTTATTGATCCTTTCTATTGTCTCTTTAGACTGTATTTATTTTCACTCATTTCCTTTCTCTAGCAGCTTTTGGCCTTCATATTTGAAGTTAGGTTGTTTATTGATCTTTCTTGTTTGATGTAGGCATTTATCTCTATGACCTTCCCTCTTAAAACTGCTTTTGCTGCATCCAGTAAGTTTTGGAATCTTTCCATTTTTGTCTCAGGGTATTTTAAAACTTTTGGTTTCTTCTCTGACCGTTTTTTTGGTAGCATGTTTATATCCACATATTCCTGAATTTTCATTTTCTTCTTATAGTTGATCATGGTTGGAAAAGATGCTTGGTATGACTTCAATCTTAAATTAATTGGCTTTTTCCTGTGTTCACTTAAACTTATTTCTTCATAAAGATCTCATAAATGCTCCATCATCTTTTAGCCACCTTTTGACAAGTAACATGTGGAAGAGGGTGTGTGTGGAAATCTAAGCACTTAAGATATACAAAAACTAACTTTATTTATAGTAATGACCTCACCTTATTCTTGAGCTCCCACTTTCACTAACGGCAGAATTGGGAAGGGAAGGATAGATTCACCAAAGAGGAACTCTTCTTTCCTGGGCTTCAAATTTTTAATTAGTTGTAAGAGTTTTTTTTTAGTGAGTCTCTAGGGTTTTCTATATATAGCACATGTCATCTGCAAATAGTGACATTTTACTTCTTACCAGTTTGGATGTCTTTTATCTTTTTCCTGACTCATTGCTCTTGTTTGGTCTTCTAATACTATATTGAATGAAAGTGGTGAGAATGGATGTCCTTGTCTTGTTCCTCATCTTAGAGGAAAAGCTTTCAGGTTTTCACCATTGAGTAGGATGTTAGTTGTGGGTTTGTCATATATGGCCTTTATTATGTTGACGTTTCCTCTATACCCACTTTGCTGAGTTTTTATCATAAGTGAATGTTGACTTTTATCAAATGCTTTTTCAGCATTGATAATCATAATTTATTTTCCCTTCATTTAAAAAATATGTTGTATCACAGTGACCAATTTGCCAGTTAGACCATCGTGGCATTCCTGTGGGTAACTCCCACTTGTTCATGAAGGATAATCCTTTGAGTGCACTGTCAACTTCAGTTGGTTATTCTGTTGAAGATTTTTGCATATTTCATCAGGTGTATTGGTAATTTTGGTGTGGTTTTGGTATCAGGGAATGGTGGCCTCGTAAAATGAGTTTGGAAGTGTTTACTTCTATTTTTTTGAAGAGTTGGAGAAAGACTGGTATTTCTTGAATTCTTAAAATTTCTGTAATTCTTGAAATGTTTGGTAGAACTCACCATTAATGCCATCTGGCTCTGGACTTCGTTTTTTGGAGAACTTTTGATTGTTGATTCAATGTCTTTACTAGTAACCAGCCTGTTCAGATTTTCTATTTTGTCATGAAATATCAATATTTGCACATTCCTAGGAATTTATCCATTCCTAGGATAGGTTGCATGTTCCTAGGAATTTATCCATTTCTTCTAGATTGTCCAAATTGTGGGGATATAATAGTTCACGTAGTCTTAGGATCCTTTATATTTCTGTGGTATCAGCTGTTATGTCTTCTTTCTGATTTTGAGTTCTTTTTTCACAGTGAGTCTAGCTAGGGTTTAATTTTATCTTGAAAGAAAAAAAACAGCTCTTAATTTTATTGATCCTTTCTATTGTCTCTTTAGACTGTATTTATTTTCACTCATTTCCTTTCTCTAGCAGCTTTTGGCCTTCATATTTGAAGTTAGGTTGTTTATTGATCTTTCTTGTTTGATGTAGGCATTTATCTCTATGACCTTCCCTCTTAAAACTGCTTTTGCTGCATCCAGTAAGTTTTGGAATCTTTCCATTTTTGTCTCAGGGTATTTTAAAACTTTTGGTTTCTTCTCTGACCGTTTTTTTGGTAGCATGTTTATATCCACATATTCCTGAATTTTCATTTTCTTCTTATAGTTGATCATGGTTGGAAAAGATGCTTGGTATGACTTCAATCTTAAATTAATTGGCTTTTTCCTGTGTTCACTTAAACTTATTTCTTCATAAAGATCTCATAAATGCTCCATCATCTTTTAGCCACCTTTTGACAAGTAACATGTGGAAGAGGGTGTGTGTGGAAATCTAAGCACTTAAGATATACAAAAACTAACTTTATTTATAGTAATGACCTCACCTTATTCTTGAGCTCCCACTTTCACTAACGGCAGAATTGGGAAGGGAAGGATAGATTCACCAAAGAGGAACTCTTCTTTCCTGGGCTTCAAATTTTCCTTTGGGTATTTATCAAACTAAAGCTCAAATTCCTGTCAGGCTATTTGTCCTTTCAGGACATCCTCATCCATTTCCTTTACCAAGATGGGTCAGGGCAGGAAGCTCTTTCATGCTACCTCCTGGGTTTTCAGTAGAATATGCTTCCCATTACTACCTACTGAATATCGTTATCTGCCCATGCCTTTCACTAGCCTTAACAGTAAACCTCAGATTCTGCAACCTGGTTTCCTTGTCCCACAGCCTCTACTACCCTCATTAATTAGGAATATAGTTTTGATGTGTGCTTACAGCCTGCATCTAACTAGGCAACTTCTCCACCCAGCTCTGTCACCCTGTCATTTTCAGCAGTGGAGAGTGGTTACTGTAGTCAATGCACATACCACATGTAAAATATCCCCTGACTGGTGCTGCAGATCCCAGAATGCCATATGCTGTTAGAATCTGCAATAAGATGTGCTAAACATACAGATCATAGCTAAGTCTCAGAAACTGTATCACAAATAGTAATATCCTTTTCCTGGAAGCCAGCTATAAATTTTGGGTATGGTTTATAACATAGGAAGTAAATCTCTCTTAAGAAAGCAGTTAGAAATGATTCTGAAAAATTGCTCTTAGGACACATTAAATTATGAAAAAGTAATGAAAAAAGTACAATAAACTTTACAAAAAACAAACAGGCAAACTGGGATTAGCCTTGGAAAGTCATCTCTAAGGCCCTGTAACCTTCATACTAAAGTCTTTTTTTTTTACCTTCACATACTAGTTTCAATTAAGGACTCCGCACAGGAACTTTATCCTATTGGCTTACTATAATGATACCACACTTTTATCCCCCTACCCCAGATTAAGCAAAAAAAGGGAAAGATATTCACAAGGAGATGGAAGCCACAGAGTAGAAATCCACAGACAACTCTAGAACAGGTTATTTTATTTTGATGAAAAAAAGCAGAAGTTGGCAAGTGAAAAATGTTATTTCTCCAATGTGACACCACACACAATAAAAGTAATGGACTTTTTGCTGTACATGAAAACAAAGGTCTCAATTACAGAAATCACACACTAATGGTTTCCAACTTTATTTAGACAGGAAGGACACTAAACAAAATGCTAAAGCCTGTGTTGGTATAGAAACACCAACAGGAATGTGACACACAAGTCCATCAACTAGGTTCTCGTTCCTCAAAATCTTCCTGAAGCATCACTCCCAGAAACATTTCTCTTGCTAGCAGGCCTCCTTCCATATTCCAGGCAAGTGGTAGAGGGCCAGTTTCTCTGGTTAGTTCTTTTCAGTATCTCAATCTTCAAGCAAGTAATTAGGGTTAACTACCAAATAGGGGTCTTCTTCATAGCTCTCACTTCCTTCGGTGGAGCCTTTCAATCCAGCTTGCGTGAGCTCAATTAGAACATGATCCTGTGAAACAAAAACATTTGTCTTCAAGTCTCAAGCAGTATTATAAAAACGCTCAATACACAGGACTTGGCTCTTCTGAGTGTCCACTACTGTTTTCTTTCATTTCTCCCTCAGAAACTCCTAGAGAAAGGACTATACCTTAAAATCATTACCAAGGTTGTTAAACCCCCTTCCCATTAAGATGCAGACCTTTTTATATACCATAAACTCCTTTTGGAAAGTTAAGAAATATGTAAGCTCGCTCAAGAGACACTGTAATTTTAATAAGGTTTCCTTGCATATTTATTGAGTACTTGTGAATATATTTTCAAAAAAGACAAAATGAATAAATTAATTTTAAGATTATACAACTGTGTAAAATCCTCTGATAAACATGTTGATTATTCTGTTTACTACTCTGATAAAAGTGTTTAACTCCACTTAGTATTGTTAATTTGTAATTACTGGCCACTGAATTCTTTCATATGCCATCCATTTAAAATTCAGTTAGAAGTAGAATCTCAAGATGAATAACATAAAAAATTTTCACTCTAAGCTATAAGCTAATAAAAAAAAGTAGAATATGCCATGTGGCTTAAAAATCTTGATGAGAGAATTCAAGCCTATGACATACCTGTCAGTCAGTCTAAAATATCCACAAATGAGGACTCCCAGCCAAGCCCAGAGAGGAACTTAGGAAACAGTGATTGGATCCCCAAAGGGGTAGGGAAGTTTAGTATAAGCACTAAAGCCACTAAAAGGGACTGGACACTTTCCAGCACTCACTCTGTGTACTAACACACTCATAGGATGACTACTTGATCATCTCAGTATTAGTTCAGTCTTTTGTACCAAATTAGCTCAGGTGGAGAGTCAAATTCAAAAAAGGAACTCCAGTTTAGATCAGTTAATTTCACAATGTGTCCCAAAGTGGATTTCTCACAAATCATTTTATCTTAAACTGATCTTAGGAGGCACTAAGGAGGTAAGAGCTGGCCTAGTGCAGACACACTGCCCACCACTATAAAAACAATTCTTAAAACATACCACTCCAATTCAGCTTTATTCTCATGCACATTTATTAAATTCTGATCTGAGTTAGCTGTTCTCATCCTCCAGCGCTGCACACTTGTAATTATACACTCATCTACTCCCACTGGTAAACAGTTTTTCAAATAACACAATTCTGATAAGTGACACCTACAATATTAATATATGGAACACTTTAAAACAAACTACAGGATAGTTGAATCTCTCCCATTTTAACAGAAAAAAGCAATCATTTAACAAATATTTGACCCCTGTATGTACCAGCCACCACTGTAGAATCTGAGGATACAATGGTTAACAAAACAAAGTCAAAGTCCCTTCCCTCATGGTGCCTACATTCTAATGAAAGAGAATGAAAAACTAAGTATCTAAATAAAGAATATACTGCCTGGCAATGATAAGCATTATGAAGAAACATAAAGCAGGGTAAGGAGGTAGAAGGAGGTGGCTATTTCAATGAGCTAAGAAAGAAAAACCTGAGAAGGCAAAACTTGACACCAGAATGGAGAAGGGAATCTGGGAAAAAGATAAGGGGCAAGTGTAAAGGCCTTCATGTTTGATGTGCCCAGGGAACAGCAAGGCTAGTGCCACTGACAGAAGGACAAGGGGAGAGGAAGAGTGCTATAAATGAGGACAGTGAGGTAGACAGAGACTTGACTCTGTGGGTTCTGCAGACCATGGTAGGAGACTGGATTTTATTCTAAATGTAAAGGAAGGACTGGAAGAGAGGACACGAAAACATACTGAATACACATGCTGATGGCAGGGCGCACAGGATTTGCTGCTAAAAGAAGGTAAGAGGGGAAAGCAGAACAGAAGCAAGGATTAAGGATGATTCTAAGTTGTCTGGCCTAGAGCAACTGAGTAAATGGGATCACTAGGTGGGGAAGAGCTGTTTGAACACATTAAGCACAAGATGGCTATCAGAATTTGCAAGTAGGCCGGCTGGCTACATATATCCGGAGAGTAGAGGAGAGGTAAGAACTGAATATATGAATGTGGGAGTCATCAGCAAAGGGCTTTAAATTCATAGAACCAAATGGGATCCCCTAAGTAATGAGTGTACACAGAATAGAGATCAGAGGACTGAGCACAGTACTCCATCTAAAAAGTGATGACACAGGAAAAGAGACTAAGAAATAACCAGCAAGACAGGAGAAGACCCAGGAGAATGTGGTGACTCAGAAGCCAAGGAACGAAGCATTTCTAGAAGTAATCAACTGTGACAAATGCTGCCAACAGGTTTAATACTGAGAATGACCAACTGAGTAGAGTAGACAGAAAGTATGTATGTAATGGTCCTTTAAGAGAGTGTGAGATGAACTGACCAGAGAAAAGTAATAGCACTGGGTAGTGCCACTGTGAGGTCGCTAAGATAAAAGAACTGTCCACTTGAGATTTGTGGTCATGAATTTAAAGTAACACTGGCACGTGCTTGTGTGCTTTTCTCCAGATACCTTTAATTGCTTGGATAAAGGTATAGAACAGGAACTAGATTTAACCAAGGCTGGGGTTTTGCCAAGCAAGTAAAACAGAGAATAAGGAAAGAATGATTACTCAGATGGACCACAGATTTACCAGGTGTAATAAATACAGTGGGAGATAACAATATAAGGAAGATAAAATATAGAAAATAGGTGAAAGTGGTTAGGGTGCTTGAAGGTTTATGGTAACAGGAGTAGTATTATTCAAATAATAAGGTGGAGAATGACAAATACCATATGATTTCACTCATTTGTGGAATATAAAAACAAAGCAAAACAGGAGGGACAAAATGGGATTAGACTCAGAGACACTGAGAAGAGACTAGTGGTTACTGAGGGAGGGGGATAAAAGGGCACAATTATTCACAATCAGTGTAAGCTGATCACGGGGACTGTTCAACCACTGTGATGTGCATCTGAAACCAACATAAGACTGTATTAATGATACTTTAATAAAAAATAATAGTAATTAAAAAACAACAGCCACCATTCAAATAGTAATACCCTAAATCTGCCTTCCCAGATTTAAGTTCTGGTTTTTTTAGCACAGGAAATGAGTCAATTAATTGTTATTCACTCTCTTGTTTTAAACTCCAATTCTGACTACAACCATGATTCAAAATAAGGAACATCTAGTGAACCTGTACAGAGGTGAGGCAGACTCCCTCTCTCATCAATACTTGAACACGCGCAGTTCTGTACATACGTAGTGAGTGAGTCGATGAATGACTTTTTCTATGATTCTCTTTTTATTTATAAGTTCCTCTTCAGAATCTATCTCTGATTCGATTTCCTTCAAGTACCAGTTAACAAGCTCACTCCTCTTTAATGCCGACTCATCCTCTTCTGCAACAAAAAATACATTTCAAAAGGATTAAATTGTATTGCCAATCCTTGGGGTTTGCATACACAAGATAATGCAGGTTAGATAACCATCAATCTGCCAGAAAGTACATCTTTTATAATAAGGTTTGCAATGTTCCAGCATAAGCTTGAAATAACCTGTTATATTACTTGTATTAAAGGATGCCTTACTTTATCCTGAAGAGAAAAATCTAATAAAAGAGAGATCAAGAAACAAGTTCCTTAAAGCTGTTGAGATTTCAAAGTATGAAGCTGTTACTTCACCTTCCTTTGCTTCATCACGTGTGAGAATATTTGCCAACAGCAACCAAAGGCATAAATTAGGAATGAAGCAAAAGCAAGCAGAACTTCTTAAATATAACTTTTCCTTTTTCAAAAGGGAGAAGACTTTATGATCTGAAAATATTCAATGTGGAGAACTGATCTGAGAAGAGAAATCCACAGGTGTTCACTCAAAATAAAAAACTGCCCATTTATTCGAATACAGCAAGGTCTATCCTTACTGACTGTACTTTCTGCTCCTTAAGAGTCCAAAGCAGAACTCTAAATTCACAAGAAAAGTTGGAACCTGGATAATATTAAAACTGTCACAGAAATAAGGCATAATAAAAGAAAACTGGACTTAAGTCTTGATTCTAGCACTTGCTAATAAAATGCAGAATCATAATAGAGAAATTCTACCTTTACTGATGAGAATTACTCTGAAAAGTTTTATCATGGTACACTGAAACTTAGTGTTGGTTCAAATGTTCTTTGTAGTGATCTTGGTTTAAAGTTGTGCTCCTTGTGCTAGACTAGTGAACAGCTGTCTACTTGAAGACTGAGAATAGCTTACTTGTCTGGGTGGGCAGTGTCTTTTTTTCTTTTTTAAGGAAAGGAAGAAAACCCAGCAGAATTTATCTGTGTAGTGCATCGTCTGGCTATTAATTATATCTTTGCTCCATCAATGGTTTGCCATATTTAAAACTTGGTTAGATGAGATAGAGAATGAACCAGCATGTGAACCTAAGAACATGTGAACTCCCAAATCTTGTTCTGTGAGGAGGGAGTAGGGCTAAAACCTGTCTATCCTAGTGGACTCTCTACTGCCTTCTCTCCTCCTTCCCACTGGTCCACAGTTCTCAGGCAATGAGGGCTCAAATCTTTAGTAAACAAAGACAATCTCTGTTGTTCTCATCCTCCATCATAGGTAGGATACTGTGATCAGAGAATATGTCTGGACACTAGCATACTGGAACTTCTAAGAATTACCCAATGGTTATTTGAGGTTTTATTCTGATTTCATTAGTTTTCCTTCTGCCTGTGGCTAACTATAGGTTGATAAAACTAGGAATAACATGGTAAATCAGTTAAGGGTAAGAAGTGTACTAGTGTTCAGACATCACACTTCACCTACAGAAAAATGAGGACTTTACTTCATTTCTAGTCTGGCATGTACTTGTAATACAGTCTTGAGTTCAATTGCTTGCCTAAGGAAGTATAAATACCTGAGGAGTCCACCCATTTTTAAAAAAGCTATGGTAAGGAACAGTGATTTTGCATCTGCAAAAACATTTGTTAAGTGCTTCCTTATATATTATCAGATCCCAAATTATGCTTGAAAAACAGTAAAATAGGCCAAGCACATTAACAAGAATTATCCATAAACTTTTGACAATGAATTTGCAGAGAAATACCTAGGCTGACAGATATGCTATAAGTCTGTAGATTTTCTTTGCCAAAGTGAGCTTATCAAACAATTTATCATATCCTCTGACAAAATACAATCTTTAGCAATCAAGTGGTTTGTGTGCGTACAGCTTATGTAAATGACTGAGCACGCAAGCTGCACTAGTACATTGTCACCTTCTTCCATCTTTCTGAGGTGAAGCACAATAAGGTTAGAGACTCGGCAGTATTCAGAGAAACTCAGTCTTAAGGAGGCTTTTGGAACAGAATCTTGGTTTACGTCTTCACTGTGGCCATTGATTCCATTCACAGGAGCAGGACTGTCAGCATGACCTAAGTGAAATATGAACCATCTGAATCTTGTTTTTGTGCCTACAACATTCCCCTATCAAATATTTATAAATAAACTACTTATATTTAAATACTACTTTTAAAACAAGCATATAGTTATACTTGGTATTAGTAATATTGCAAGTAAATTAAAAATGAATTTGTAAATACTTATATTGAAGACAAAAACAAATTTGTAAGGAATGGGAAAGACAGGAAATATAAAAATTTCATGATCTAAAAGTACATATGCAACATTATATACCAAATTTAAAATTTTGATATTTGTTTTAATGTACTTGAGAAAATATTTTTAATTCAAAAGCAAAAATAACAATAAAAATAAGGCCAGGAGAATTAAATCCACTCTCACCATTTTGGTGTATTTTCTTTCAGTCTTTCAAAGCATATATATATTTTATATCAACCATTTAATTGTATTTTAACTTGTAAACAGTTAGTACAACTCAATATCCACTTTTTCCCTTTTGCTACAGACTTCAAAACCATCAACCAGTGTACTTTTACCATAGCATCTCAGAGAACATTTTGTCCCTTAGTCCAGAACAGTCATATGAACAAACATCTCACCATTGATGCCACCTGGGCCCTCATCTACCTCCATCTGGGCCTCTTCTTCTTGATCTAGATTAACATCAGGAGTTTCTACACGGATGATTGACTTATTCAGTAACCGGAAAGCTTCCTTCACATGTTTGGGCTGGACCTAAACCAATCAAGGTGAGGAAAATCAGTACATCGGTCTGCTTAATACTCTGAACAGATTTCCTCCATATGAAATCACAGTGGTATTCAGGTTTTTCTCACACACATAAAATGTAAGATAGCACCATTAATTCACAAGAATGGCTATAAGGACCAACAAGATCAATTGCTGGAAAAAAATGTAAAACAGCTTTTATTCACTGCCAGTGGAAATATAAATTGACACAACCATTATGGAAAACCATTCTGGCAGACTTTATTAAACTACACACATGTACAACTTATAACCTAACAATTCTACTCCACTCCAACAGAAATGTACACATATTTCATATGGATCAAAAGATACATATGATCCCGTAAGAACTCAAACTGGAAACTATCCAAATGTCTGTTAATGGAAAAATGGGTTAGTCATTGTGATATTCACTGACAGAATATCAGCAATGAAAATGGACAAGTTATTGCTACACAAAATCCAGATGCTCTCTTAGTGTTAATCCTGCTTGAAAGAAACCAGACACAAGGTAGAACATTCTTAAAACTGGACATCACATACAAAAGAATGAATTTGGACCCTTGACTTATATATAAAAATTAACTCACAATGGATTAAAAACCTGAAACAAAAAATCTGTAAGAAAACATAGGAGAAAAGTTTCAAAACATTGGATTTATAATGGTTTCTTGGAGGACATCAAAAGCACAGGGAACAAAAGGGAAAACTGACAAATGAGACCATAACCAATTCATGAAGTTCTGAGCATCAAAGGAAACAATCACTACAGTAACAAAAAAAAATTTTTTTTAAACCACCCCACAGAAGGGGAGAAAGTATTTGCAAATTACATATCCAATAAAGGGTTAATATCCAAAACATATATAAAAATATTCAAGCTCACTGCAGCATTATTCAAAATGGCCAAGAGGGGGAATTAACCCAAGTGTCCACTGATGGATAAATGGATAAACAGACTGCAGTATACAGTATGCCTCCCTTATATGCAGGTATGTTTCAAGACCCTCAGTGGATGCCTGAAACTAGACAGTCCTGTACCCCACATATGTTTTTTTCCTATACAGACATATCTATGATAAAGTTTAATGTATAAACTAGATACAGTAAGAGATTAACAATAAAACAGGAATTATAATATACTGTAATATAACTTATGTGAATGTGGTCTCTTGCTCTCAAAATATCTTACTGTACTGTACTTACCCCTCTTCTTGTGATGATGTGGAATGATACGATGCCTACCTACATGATGAGATGAAGTGAGGTGAATTATATATAGCATTGGGCTATGAATGACCTTCTAACAATACGTCAAAAAGAAGACCATCTATCTACCTGCTTCTGGACTGTGGCTGACCACAGGTAAACAAAACTGTGGAAAACAAAACCACATACGGGAAGGGCTCTACTATGTACATACAATGGAGTATTATTTAGCCTTAAAAAAAGGAAAATTTTTCACATGCTACAACATCGACGAACCTTGAGGACATTATGGTAAGTGAGATAAGCCAATTACAAAAAGACAAATACTATGATTCTCATCATGAGGTATATAAAGTTGCCAAACTGGAAAGCAGAATGAGGGTTATCAGGGGAGACTGTCTTCAATGGTACAGAGTTCCAGTTTTACAATGAAGAAGTCTAGAGGTCTGTTGTACAACAACATGAACATACGTAACAGCACTGAACTATACTTAAAAATAGCTATGATGGCAAATTTTGTTATGTTTTAACCACAGTTGAAAAAAAAGGTTGAAAATGACCTAAAAAAAAAAAAGGTTATCCTCAGAGGGCAGAAGTGACTGTAAGGAAGCACAAAGGCTTCTGGAGGTACTAGTAATTACTGTTTCCTTCTTGATTTGGGTTGTAGGTTACACAGGTAGGTTCACTGAAAGTTAAGTGAGCTGTACACTTGCCGTTTTTGTACTTTTCTGTATGTATGTTTTGCTTCAACAAAAAAGCTTACATGAAAGAAAAATGACATGCCTATATTTTTGGGGGGATTGCTTTTTAGGCCTTTTATAAATAACCATCAGACTCTAAATCTCTCTCCAATCAGCTGAGCCTCATAACAACAGATAAACCCAGCAGAGAGGCCTGTTTTTTGTTATTTTTAAAAAATACTTTACTACCTTCCAGGAAACTTGAAATCATTTAGGAACAGTTAATATCAAGACATATTCTACTAATTTACTGGTCTATGTAAATAAAGAAAGAATACTTTGGAAAGGAAAAGATCGAGTTACTTGTGGGGAAAAAATTAGTAATCAAGGACTGGCTTCTGATTTCGCCACAGCAAAAGTTAATGTCAGGATACAGCAGAAAATTTCACTAGATAAAAAGTATGAGCCAAAGGTTGTCGAGCAAGCCACGCTGTCATTCAGATAAAGGCCACAAATAAACCAGGTTGAACATAATACTCAGGAAATACTATTCCCATTAAGTCTTCTTTTTCCCCTCATAGAACTTTTCCTTAAAGGGAGGCTAAAAATTTTAATCAGCCAAGATATGAATTATTAGGGAATCATGACAAAATAACCTCTAGTAAGTCTTGCATATATTTAGCTACAGAACTAAGCTTAAAACAAATGTGGGAATGAAGAGTGACAGAACACAATGTAAATGTATGACAAATGATTTAACAAATAAAAATGGGAAGGGAATGGAGGAAACAGGGAAACCTGAGAGTAAATTTGCTGACTGCTTCTCGACCATAATAGATGAGTCAAAAGATAATAAATTAACTAGTAAATAAGCGTATTTAGTTGTACAAGATAAGCACTAACAAAGACAGTGTTTTCTAAAAGCAGGTGGTTGAGAGGGGAGAAGGAACGAAGGTGAAACTTGCTGGTTTCATCTGGTACAGAACAAAGAACGAAACATAAAGAACAAAAAATAATAAAAGTTACCACTAAAAAAATGCAAATTTTCTGGGTACCGGAACTGCACAGACAAGCAAAAGCTAAGAGGTTACATAATAAAAAGACCTTTCAACTATAAAAAGAATAAACAAAATAAACCTCTCTCTCATACCAATAAATGTAAATTGATTTAAATTACATATTAAAAAAATTTTGTTTGGGTCACAAAACACAACTCCATGCTGTGTATGTATATATATATAACGGCACACTTAAGCTTACTCAGAAATGCCAAAAAATAAAAAGCTGGGCAAAGTTATACTAGATGAAAGCAAGCAAAGTGAAGTTCAGGACAAAAAGCATGTAAGACAAAGAAAGGCACACTAATAAATCACAATGAAAATATATGTACTTAAGAGCAACAATATTAATATAGGAGTTAAAAGGATAAATATAGAGACAATAACTACATTACTGGTAGAGAAATAAAAACTATTAATAGGAGACTTTTAACTTTCAATTTAGAGAAGATACAGTAGACCAAAAATCCACAAAAAACCCAGAAAACCTATGTAACAAAGGTAACCTCCCCATTCAGAGATATATAAAATTATGTACACTGCAAACAGAGACTAGGCCGTCCTTTAAAATGGCCCATGGAACACTTATGAAAACTGACATTAGGCTACAAAAAAAGCACCCATAAACTCCAAAGAACAAAAACTAAATTGGAAATGTAGACATTATTTTCTAATCACAATGTAATAAAATTAAAGTTTTTACTTGAGAATTCTTATCAGTAAAATAGCAGAAAATTTCAATGTAACAGAAAACTGTTCTAGAATAGAGACAAAAGGGGAAAACTTCCAAAAATTTTAATGAAAAAACAACCATAGTATCAAAACAAAGACTGCAAGAACAAAAACACCCAAGGTCTAATTTCCTTTATGACTATTATCACACAGCCAATCAGGAAAAAGAAAAAGTCATACAATGTCATCACTGTTATTACGCATTATACTGCAACTGCAAAAGCAAAAGTAAATTAATGGAGAAAATAGGAAAAGTTTATTTTTTAACAAGACAGGAAAAAAAAAACATATGCTAGTATATCATTTGCAAATAAGAATAAATACCTGGAATATCAAGAGATTAAACTGAAAAACTATTACAGACAATAGATGTTAGTAAGGGATAAACTAGTATACAGAAACCAATACCGATCTACACAAACAACCAGTTAGAAGATAAAATAGGAAAACGAAGTCCACCTTCATGAAAAATAGCAAAATATCAAAGAATAAATTCAATAAAAAACATACAAAAACTGCACGAAGAAAAGTTTAAAACCTACTCAGTGAAACAAAGGATGATTTAAATGGGAAGATAATGATGCCTGTGGTAGTCATCAGAAATATAAGTGTTTACTTTTCTCAATCTAGGCAGGCACCGGATAGGAAGGCATTTCTTTACTGCTGAACTTAGGCATGGCCGTGCTAATTTCTCTGATGAATGAAATGTGAGCAGTGGTACCAAGTCATTTTTAGATAGAAGGTTAAGACATACCATGTAGTTCATGGAATGTCTTTTTTCTTTTCCCTGCTGTCTATGATCATGGAAGCATATGTCAGAAAAGAGACTGTATATATCAGCCTGAATTTCTGAGTGACATGAAGAGGAGAGCCCTTTACTGACATAAATATACCTGTAGCACAAGCAAAAAAATAAGTATTTGTTTAAAAGTGGCTGAGATTTTTACAGCATTACCTAGATTCTAACTTCTATGTTTTCTTGGACAGGAAAAATTGGTGGAAAGCAGGGCTTTTCTTATTCTTCTCTTATCCCACAAAGATGCCCATTAAATGGTAGGTGAATCAAAGAATATCAAAAAAGATATTGCGAAGTACTTTGTAAACAGTAGAGTAATATGATCACACATTTGAAATCTTAAAAAGCCAAAAAATGTTCTATGGAATAGAAATGGTGATTGAAAACAGAATAGCGGTTGCTTCTGGGGAAGGAGGCTAAGATTGAAAAAGGGCCAAAGGGAACTTTCTGGGATGATAGAAATGTTCTATATCTTCAGCTGGGTGGTCACAAGGGTATTTGAAAAAAGTACATTTTCCTCTATGTAAATTATACCTCAATCCTACTATTAAAAAAATACAGCCAAACTTTTTTCAAACAAAATCTTATATTGTCTAATATATGAAGCTAGGTAAAAGTAGGGTTGCTTTTCTTGAAGCACAGATGAGGGCTTGAGTACTTTTCTGTACTGTTCCACATTTATTCCCTTAATACCCACTGACATGTACCTATAGAACCAAAGGCTCAAAGAAGAGTTTAATAACTATACATTATAAAAACCTAAGAAGGAGGAGAGTTCCCTCTGAAGCCAGGGGCTACATTATCATTTCTGTATCCCCAACCCAGATGCATAGCAACATTATAGGGTTCAAATGGATTTTTCTTGAAAGAATTAATGCATTAACAGTAACCCACCTTTGTATGTACTCTATAATCTGACATGATTATTTCACTATTAGTCTAACAATACTCAGTAAATACTTGACAGGAACCTTCTTCAAGGGAGAGTACCCTATGAGCAGTCAAAAGCTTTAGAAAAATAAATCTGTGGTGAATTTATTGTCCCATACCAGAGATAAAAACATGCTTATAAGCCAACCATTCAATTTCTCTTCCCTCCCATTATGTCAGTGATTCTGATACCTCATCACAGCAGTGCATTCGAGCCATTGCTTCAGAGAGACGGATCATGCTCTCAAGCTGTCGCACTGTAATCCTCCATGAAGACTTGGTTACTCCAGAACCATCCCTCTGGCGGAGACGCTTATACTGTTCCACAATGAAGTCCTCTGACTCTTTAGAAATCTGTTTCAGAACATCATTGAAGTCAGAGCATTTCTACTTGATAGGAACTCTGCTAAAACCTAAGAGCCTTCCAGGTAGAAACCCTTACGGTAGCTGACAGTGTCAAAACTTTGAAGTCAATGACAAGGAATTAATACTAAATGCCTTTCAAAAGAAACCAATGCTATGGAGCCCTGTGAATTCCATGTATTAATTTTATGAACAGGAGGTTATGCTTTTTACACCCCAGATACCAAAGCTCATTAAACAAATTAATGCTCAGGCTTTTCTTGAAGCTCAGTTAATTAACTTATTCTGTCTTTCACTTTAGTTCAGTAAACTTTATTGTTTGTTGAGTAATAACAAAGTGAGGCAAACTAAAGAATCCTGTTTTTTAGAGCAAGGAACTCAGCATATTAAGGAAGCAGTCATGGAGAACAAATGCTTCTTCACCCAAAAGTGACCTATAATCCTTACTTTAAATGACTCACTAAGCTTCTTTTGGGTCATTTTGACTGTGAGTCAATCCCAGTATTCTAGAGAATAAATGAAGGTGATGGATAATTAAAACCTAAGGATAACTCAGAAGACAAGCTAGACAATAGGTAAAAACTTCAACCAGAATCAGTTTTTTTCTCTTCATATTCTGTTTTACAAAAATACCAAACAAAACAGATGCATTATGGAGGTTCATTTTAAAAATAAATGCCCATGAGAATATCCTAGACTAAGAACAGATTCAACTGAATGAACTACATCAATCGCTGTGAACAGTAATTCATGATCATCACAATGATCTAGAGGAACCAAAGTTTTTCCTCAGAGAAAGATTCAAGAGAATTCAGTAGACTACAGTTAAGTACATATAGTTTTAAGATTCTTAGGAGTAATGATTGAAATAAAAGAATGGCCTACTTTATTTGGTTATTCAAAACTCTTCACTCATAAAAATCTTTTTATTAGCACCTAACAAATAAACTAAATGGAATTACTCAGGTTTTTAAAAATTCTTTCTAAAAGCTCTGAAGAAACAAGCTACTTTCAAAAGGAAAAACAGAAACTTAAAAAAAAAAAACCTACAGTTTCAGTTAATTTCCATATAATCATTTTGTTTAAATGCCACCTTAATGTACTCACTATGCACTATTCCAGTACAAACAGGCAGGTTACCTTGGGTTTAAACTGTCTTGCAAAGAGAAGATACCTCCTGATATCATCAAGGGAATAGACACGATCAATTGAGTCCTCAATTCTTGAATGCAAGTCTACTATACGTCTGGCAATAGCATAGTCTGTAACCTAATTCAAAACAAAACAAAGTCACCTTGATCAGTCACAGCAATATCCACAGCAGGCTATCCCAGCAATAAAGAAAGTATTTATAGCTAAAAACAAGCTCCAATATGCCACTAAGAGATGCATTAATGAGAATCAAGTTTCTGAGAAATGTTTGATGCCACTCTCATTTCCAAATAAAAAGTTTAAATTATACCTTTGCCCCACTCTAAGAATATTCCTGAAGGAATTAACTAACTTTAATAACAATGGCAGGACTAAGATTTCTAGGGCCTTCAGTATACATCAGGCAGTGTTGACTTAAGTGTGCCTAGAAGCATTAACCCATGCAACCCCTCACAAAAACCTTACTAGGTAGCTAATACGCTCATTTCATAAGATGAGCAAATTCAGGCCCAGAGAGGTTTAAGTAACTTGTTTAACATCACAGTTAGAAAGTAATGGAGCCAGGATTTGAACAGCCTAGCTTCAGAATATGTGCTCTTAGCCATTACATTATAGATATTGAAAAAAAAAAAAAAACCATACAAAAAATATGCAATTTACTCTCAAGTGATACAGAAAGAACCATGTGGATATACAAACAGCAAATGATAAAGCAATTGGGGCAAAATATTAATATGTGAAGACAATAAAGTATATATATGTGGGTGTTATATGCACTATTTTATTTCTTACAACTTTTCTGTAAATTTGAAATAATTTCCAATTAACAAGTTTACAAACTCATTTAATATATGTATATAGAGAAATACATGAAAATCAGACAACTCCCATGTAGGGGGCAGTGGGGAGGAAAATGGGTTAAATATTTACATGGATTTGTGAAGGAAAAAACCAAACCAAAGCATAAGAAACTAAAGCCCTTCAAACATTCACATCATGGAAGGCATCTTTTATTTAGATAATATTTAAAGTTTCATTGTAAGCAAAAGGTACATCTTGTACGTAATTAATACAGGACCTCCATGCTCAAATTTAAATTACAACCTATATTAAATTCTGCAAAATGTCATATTGTAGTTCTGTGCACATCTTGGCTGTGCAATGTTGTTAAATATTTACATTGAGTATAAATAACTCTAACTACTAATTTGTTAGAATCTCAAGTCCACAATTTTGCACTCAGTCTTAAGACTGTTACATTAACTGGGGGAAAAATATGATACACATTCAACAATTTAACGGGAAGAAAAAGGAAGACAAATGACGCATGATTTGGGGGAAAAATTTCTTTGGTATCCCATTTTTTTTTAAAGCTTATGGGAAAAAAACCCACAAAAAATTCTTATAGAAGTCTTTAGGAGTATGGTTGGGGGTCAACTGTAATATGTTTCCTTTTTTCTCTTAAGAATTAAAAAGCAGTGACAAAAACAAAAAAATTGGTACTCCTCAACACAATTAAGTGGAACCGGCAATTCAAGTAACTTTATTTTGATTTGTTTAATAAACCCTTTGCCCAATACTGTGACACTCTGAGAAAAATGAAAGGTCAGTGCAAACACCTCTACCAGCTGTTCAGGAATACATCTTTCAGGCTTGTCTCACTCAATTACTCCAACTGGAAATAACAAAGGAACGTAAGAGCAATAGCTCATGTAGTTACCTCATTACATTCATCCACGAGGATAAAGAAAAGATCAAATCGGGACATGATGGGAGCTGACAAATTTATATTCTGTTTCAACGATTTTGACCGGTCATAGTGTCCACTGACTGGGTTTGCCGCTGCCAAAATGGATGTCCTAGCATTCAGAGTAGCCTGACCACAAAAGAAGCAATTGTGATAAGTTTAAAAAGACATCTGGAATAGCCAATAAACATATGACAAAATGCTCATGCTCACTCATAATTAGCTAAATGCAAACCAAAACAGTAAGACATCATTTCTCATCTACTGAATCATTAAAATTAAAGTCTGATAATATAGGGCAGACAGACACTCCCATTTGATGTTGGTGTATTACATATACAGTTGTTAAGCCGGCAATTTCTTTTTAGGAATTTGTCTTGCAGCTAGGTACAGAGGATGTGTGTTCAAAGATGTTTACTACAATACTGTCTGTAATCAAAAGGCTGGAAATTATCTAAATGTCACTCTCTAGTAATCTAATGAGCCCAAAGTGGGGCACATATACTTGAACAATGCAGTAATTAAAAAACCAAAGTAGATCTAATATGTGCAGGTATGGGAAGGTTGTCAAAATAAAATTGTGAAAGTTAAAAGAGCAAGGAACAAAGTTGTATCATGCTTATTTACACAGAAAATATTTCTGAAGGGGGCATACAATCAGCAGATACTGCTAGTATTTATTGGTGCTGGGAGTTGCAGGGTAAGATTTTCTTCTTTAAATTTGTATTTTAGTATACTGCTTAAATTTTCTTTAACTACTTGAATACATTAGTTTTATTTAAAAAGCTGATTTCTAATATTGGTTACAACATAATACTTATTATTTTCATTTAAATAATGTTAACTTTGATTATTTTCATTACAATTACAAACATACTTTATCAAGGAATATAGAAGGTAGGTTGAAATTTTGAGAAGTGAAATGCTAAAGATTTCACCAGTGTGTCCTCTACTTTCTATCATACCAACACATTTCCACAGTACCCTAAATAGCACCTATAACTTGGATTAATAACCCTCAGGGCTGTGTTTTCCATTAAATAGCATTTCATGTTGAAATAGTGCATTTTATCCAAGTGATATCTCTAGAGGCCTACATAAATCTAGAAGGCTAAGGTTATGATGCAGTGGAACAGAAGAGGACACACATACCTTCACTCCTGCTTTAGTGATGGAGATTGTCTGCTGTTCCATAGCTTCGTGAATAGCAACTTGATCCCGCACATCCATTTTATCAAATTCATCAATACAACATACACCCTGTAATCAAACATGTGAAACTACCTTTCAGATATCAAATGGCAAGTAAATCGAAAGTTTGCTACCACAAAGACTTCTCTATTCTCTAAACTTTAAGCAATCCTAATTTCCTTTACTAGAGTGAAATAGTTGAATAAACCCCAGAGCTAGAAGGAAACATATGCTTTTAAACACACTGTAAACTACAAGTAAGACTAAAAACGTACATTCGTTGCACTTGTACTCAGTATCAAAATCTTGTGTTAATCTCAGAGTCAAAACATTCTGGGTGACCTCAGCATTGATTTTAGGCCAGGGAAGTGAAGGGTGAAGTTGGAACATAATGTTTATAAGCATGTATATGTACAATGTATATACCTTTCTTTACAGGTCTAATTAAGCTATGTCAAGTACATGTAAAATACAACTGACACAGAGGTGTCAGTATGGGAAGGAAAAAATGCCGGAAAGTACTGGTCACAGTAACCAGACATGCTCAGGGCAGGTAGTACATTCTAGAAAAGCTCTGCAAGTGCTATTAACAATTTCAATCAGATTTTAGATTAATAAAACTATGAATTATTTATTAAAAATCCCTTTTTTAATAAAAAAGGACAGCTTTTTAGTAGAAACTTATAGGCCTTTCTGACAGGGCAGGGGATATTCTGATTACTTTACATCCAAGCATGTAAAATGTTCTTACATTATCAGCCAGCATCAACGCTCCAGCCTCAATGACAAACTCATGAGATTCTTCATCTCTCACAACAGCTGCTGTTAAGCCGGCAGCACTGGATGCTTTGCCACTGGTGTAGACAGCCCTGGGGCTGAACTCTTCCACATGCCTGTTAAAGGTTATCATATTCATTAATACATGACTACAAAGCATCCTTTCCAGGAATATCAGCTGAAATGGTTTATGTCAATTAAGAATTTAAATTCCTTAAAGAACATTTGAGAATGGCATCAATGATAAGCAATTCATAAAGACACATGCCATAGACAGAGCAGAAAGCCTTAACTCTTTTGCTTGTAAACAGATTTAAATGCATTCCTGTCAAATGGATGAAGTTCATATGACAATAATATCAATTTTAAAAGAATCTTTAATAAACGTGTTCAGCAGAAATGATATATTAAAAGGTCTTGCACATAAAAAATGAAAGACAAAGGCAGATGTGAGATTTATTCCAAAAATGCAAGGTTGGTTTAACATCTAAAAATCAGAAACATGCCATATTAATAGAATAAAGGGTAAGAACCGTCTTAATAGATGCAGAAAAAGTGTGTGACAAAATC